CGCCCAATTAAAATGAAATGCCTGTTATATGCTAGTGTAAACTTCCTAATCAAACGTTTGTCTAAAATCCCTAATTTCCCATGTTATTAAGGCATTCGTGTAAGCATAACTCGGTCACCGTTTAGAGTCTGACCCTAGAAAGAAATCATCCGAATTGATAATGCTTACGAATATGAATAGACAACTTAGGCAAGTTGTAAAAATAGGCAAGAATCTCATTTAACCTCAACTTTTTGTTACACCAAAACTGCGGCTTACTTTGACACCACGCAAGCTGGACTTGCCAGACATAAGCATACGAGCTCCGTTTGATGAAGGGTAATCAACTGAGCTAGGTGCCACATCTACTCCACAGGAGAGCTGGTCAGTAGTGTGGTTGGCCAAATTTCCTCCACCTGTGAAAAGGAAATAAGAATGATTAACTAAGGCGAAACCTGAATGAAATGAGAAATATATAAGAAATACATTATAAAATTATAAAAGCCCCTTTCAAATGGTTGGAAATGATAGGTTTTCTCAAAAAGTATTTAAAGACAATGCATATTGCTTGAAATCGAAATATTTTAGTGATTGTTATAAACCCTCTGCAAGCAAACATCTATCAAAATGATGATCAAGATAGGTCGCTTTGGTGATTCTTTAGGTCACTGTAGTGAATAAAATGTAAACCTCCACGATGAAATGAGATTTAATTTTTCTACTTTTGTTTAAAGAGCGGACTCGTGATTAAGCTATCAAATTATAATCAAAATCCCCAAGGAGTCCAGTCATACCATTTGCATTAAAATAGAATGGAAATATCCCCATCTAATGGTAATATGGATTTGGAAGTCAAGTGATCTACAGATCAACAAAATTTAAAATATTTATATCTAATTCTATTTAATAGGATAAATATGACCAGTGAGAATAGTAGTAGAGACCTGAAAGATGGCCTAAAACTTCACACTTTAATTAAATAAATGAATAAAACAGCCATTTCGAGAATAGACACGCAATCCCTAAAACCAATGAACTCGTTAGTTGTATAGTAGAACTCTTCAGAGATACCTATTCCTAGACTCCATCGTAGCAGCCTATACGCAACACAATCTTTACTAAGCAGTTAATCAGAGATATAACAGTTCTCTCGCGAATGCATAATGGCAGCTATCACGCCAAACCTAGTATACAAGCATGTACCTCCAGGGATGTATGCGCACAGATCATACAGACGAATAATGTTCAAGTGTAATGTAAGAAAATGGCAGAAATTATATTCTAATTTAGTTAGCCTCTGCTTAACGATATCTTCAACTCTCTTGCCAACAGTAGTTCTTGCTAAATATGCTATTATTTTTCATTATTTGGATTTTTACCGATTCAATTATTTTATACCGATTTGAGTCAGATAGCGTAATTCGTAAAATATAAAGTGTGGGACCATTATATATAAGTAGATAAATCCAAAGATTATAAAGTAGGCCACGAAAGCAGAACATCGTACGGCAATTTTATATATAAAGGGCTGCTTCTTAAAGTTTTTAAACCTTGTTTAGCCCCGTTTATACCTAAAGACATAATTCTTTCCAGTACTTATTTTATAGTATGGAATAAAAATTGCAATCCAGAAACTCAATTTCAATAAACGGAACAGATACTACTGAACCATACGGAATTCATTAAAAGAGTGAATGGCAAAGGAATTGTTAAGACCTTATGAATTAGTTCCTCATATATGCCGCGCATCCATTACTGAGAAGATGCAAGCTAAATATTTGTTCATGAATCCGCAACGTAACCATACACTTAGTTTACTTTAACTAATAAATCATTAATGTGTTCAAAGGATATATAAGCCATACAACTGCTCATAATCAAACAGGAGAGTGAAAAAGGTAATAAATAAAGTAAAATAGATATATGCAGGCTGAAGTTACCCCCTAGGATTTAAACTAAAGTTTGTACAAAGTATTCATAGTAGACTGAGAAATTTGCCCTTAGCCATTTCCTAAAATAAGCCGATTTAAAATAATAAGCCTTTTAAACACATTAATGGCTTCTTGACAATGATTGATTGCAGAAAGAATGATAACGATAGACTAAAGCATGAGAGTGAATTTTAAACCTTGCATTCCTAAGTAAGGCCGAAGTTTATTGCCTT